TACCGTACCATACTTTGCCTTTAAATGAGTGGAATTATCTCCCACAACTATGTAAGATACAGGAAATGATGTCACTGTCCCTCACTGTTAAGATCTGAAAGACTGAAAAGTCTATGTGCACTCTCTAAGAAAATATTTCAATCTAAAAAGTTCTTACAGCAAGAGTTATTTTATAAAGTGTCAAATCTGTTACCACAATATCAAAAGGAAAACTGATTTTTTTCATTGATCACACTTTGTGTTATTTAAAAGTCTTTTAATCATGATTTCATTAGTGCCATGTGCTCTTAGCATTTATGCTAGCAAGTGGAGTTTTTGCAAAAAATAAAGAAAATTGCCAATTCTGTTACTGTCAAACTCTGTTACCAAGGTAGAGTAACAATGCCGACAATGCGGTAACAGAATTGACAGTCCATCGGACAATTCTGTCAATTCTTTTACTTTACAATTCTGTCACTTAAAGGGTCAACTCTGTTTATGAACTATTTTCACACAAAAAACAATAAAATTGTTGTTTAAAATCTAATAAACATTATTGATTTATTTTTGCACCCTTATAATATTTCAACAACATTTCTTTTTTTAACTGGATATTGTAATACATTTTCAGATGAAAAATATTTGCTGCAAGTGGACGGTTCTGTGAAGACATAGGTTTTTTTTTTAAGGTATGCATAGGTGAAATATTATCTCAGTTTCAAGTGCTGGAATGTAAGGACTGTTTGTCTAATGAAACAAGAAGGATTTTTCCTGTTATGATTTATTGTTATTTCTACACATTGGCTAATTTGTCCCTAACAGAGTTGGCAAACAATACCTTAAAGACATCTGTTTTTTCATTAAAAGTAAAAAAAAAGGAAGTAACTTGTGTTTGGCAAGCACTGAATTATTAAAATTAAATATGTTTTCAATAAGATACTAAAAAAAAATCGGTTAGTAAAAAGTTTTTTTTCTTTACTTTCTGCAATGCCAAATGTATCTCCAATTATAGAATCACCCATATATATATAATTAGCCTATATGTGTATTTATAAATATAAGATATACAGGTATATTTTTCATATGGTGATGTGTTTGAAAATGATTTTGATATATGACATTGGTGTTTTTTGGCTTAATGTGATGCCTGCGCATATATTGGGATGTCCATTAACTGCGATTATTAAATTGACATGTGTGCACTGGCAAATATGACACTGAGGAAGAGCTTAGTCTCGAAAACGTTTTGCACTTTTTTGCAATCTTTTGCACGTTTTGACAAAGATTAATAGGCTATATTACATTTTGAAGGTGACATTCTGCAAGGTGGGCCATATATGCAGATATATGTGCGTTATATAGAAATGATATAGCCATTATCTGGATCTCAGAGTACTTGTACCTCAGAAAATGGTTCAGTGTAAGAAAATTGGTGTCCCTCTCCTAATACAACTCTGGGCGGCGTTTCCCGATTACGTTGTCTCTTAGCGCTCTGCGAAGACTCTTAGCAGCATACATCACATCAGGGAAGAAAACAGAAAAATATATGCCCAGTGGCAGGGCCGTTTCTAGGCATAGGCGAGCTAGGCGGTCGCCTAGGGCGCCACCAGCTGAAGGGGCGACAATGAGCGCACGTACTGGCACTTTTAGCAGGGTTGTGATAAATGGTCACCACATAAAATACAAGGGGAAAAACCTACACGAGACACTGCGTAATAATTTTAATAGCTTTTAACAAAAAGGGGGGGGGGCGGGGATTCTGATACCACTGCTTACAGCAAGAAGCACTTCAGAAATAGTTGAATTTGCAAACTAAATTCAACCCTGGCTGGATATTTTATATAATTTCGAAATGAGTGCACGAACCTGCAACGTCATTCGCAAATATTTCATGTAACTGGCAGTATAACTTTGAAAGGTTCATTTATATTATACTGCTGAAGTTGGCGAAATTTTTTTAATACCTTTTTTATAGAATTGCAGCTTCTGTATCTGCTTCTGAAGGTATTCAGGAGACCTACGTTTTAGAGTATATACACTAAATGGCTCCACAGATGGCCCTGTCTTTGATTTAGCACAACCATTCGTTGTATCGGTGCCATACTTTGGCCAAACGCCCCACCTCAATTATTCACTTTAAATAGACTCCTAAGCCTTTATTGCCTAATGGATTGCCAGCTGATGTACCTTTGGATTAT